TTTTTAAGGATGGATCCTGATTTGGTTTTGACTTCATCCTAAACAAGCAACGCGTCTACCTTTATCAAATCACACTTTTAACTATGATTTAATCTCTTAATTATTTATAATATTGATTTAACCCTTAAATTTTTAGTAAAATGGAAAATTCAGTTTTAAGGTTTTTTTTTTTTTTTTTTTAAATACAAATTTCAAGGACCAAATTTATCCCTTCACAAATAATTTGAAAATTAAATTTACACAACGTTATAATTGAGGCACTAAACGTTTCTTCTTCTTCTTCTTTTTTTGTCCTTAAACGTATAGTACATATTTTTTAAATTTATAAATTAGGAGGGTAATATAAAAAATAAAAAAATAAAAAAAATAAAAAAAAGGTAGAATTGTCATGTTTAATGTTTATTTTAGGAAAGTACACAACACTTTTGGCTATATTACTAATACTAGTTTTTTTACGCGCTTTGCGCGAATGGGATAATGCCCAATGATTATTTTTAAATAAGTATTTCAAAGTATATCAATGCAATATTATATCGGAGATGTTCATGCATATGTAAATAAATATTGAATTTGTTTATTTAAATCGATAATTCAAAATATATAAATGCAAGATAATATTTATTGAATTTTCTAATCGATATTTGGTAGTGGTAGTTTTCCACTACATGTTTCATGCATTTTGAGATGTGTGTCGTAGGTTATCATGTGAAAGTATTGAACAAAATATTAATATTTATTATATTTGTATAAAATACTTGGTAAATAAATATATATAATGTATTTTGTATTATAACTTTGATATTTAATTACAAGATAATGTAAAAAGAAGACAATGGACAATGCAGTGAATATAATAAATTAATAAATTTGAAGGTAATGAATCTTTGAATTGTAGAAAATAAAGATAATATAACTAATGAAATTATATCTATTTTTAAATTTTTTATAATGAATAATTTTTTTAAATAAAGGCATTATAGACATCTAATTCTAAATTAATTAAATGCATATGTATTATTTTTTGTTGTAGCTACTACTTTATTTAGTTTAAGAGCAATAAAGTGGGCAAATTATGCTATGGAACCGTGTCCACCTTGCAAGGTGGACATGCATATCGGAGATGTTCATGCATATGTAAATAAATATTAAATTTGTTTATTTAAATATGTAATTCAAAATATATAAATGCAAGATAATATTTATTGAATTTTCTAATCGATATTTGGTAGTGGTAGTTTTCCACCACATGTTTCATGCATTTTGAGATGTGTGTCGTAGGTTATCATGTGAAAGTATTGAACAAAATATTAATATTTATTATATTTGTATAAAATACTTAATTGGTAAATAAATATATATAATGTATTTTGTATTATAACTTTGATATTTAATTACAAGATAATGTAAAAAGAAGACAATGGACAATGCAGTGAATACAATAAATTGATAAATTTGAAGGTAATGAATCTTTGAATTGTAGAAAATAAAGATAATATAACTAATGAAATTATATCTATTTTTAAATTTTTTATAATGAATAATTTTTTTTAAATAAATGCATTATAGACATCTAATTCTAAATTAAATATGTATTATTTTTTGTTGTAGCTACTACTTTATTTAGTTTAATAAGAGTAATAAAGTGGCGTATATACTTTTCATCAACAATAATGCAATCATTGATTTTTTTTTAAAAAAAAAAATACATACAAAAAATATTAATGCAAAAGTATAATTGAAATATTAAGTTTTTTTCTGATCTAAATAATCAAAAGAATATTAAGTTTTTTTCTGATCAAATAATTTTTAAATTTCTTGATTTATAATCTTTGATGCTTAACTTTGAATGTTATGTATTTAGTCAGACTAATTATTTGAACAAAGTTTATGTTAAATTTTATATTATATATATTTTATATTTTAAATATATTTTAACATATTCGTAGTATATATGTTTAACAATTATGCCAACTCTAATTGGGGTGTGGTTCGAAACTAAGACTTTTCTTATAGAAATTAATGTATAAGTTAAAATAATAAATATTTAACGGAATATTCCGTTACTAAAGTTTATACTAACGGAATTTGGGTTATTTAAGGAAAGAAAATAATATAATAGAGGGTAAATAAGGAAAATCAATAAAAAATACTAAAATAAAAATAATATGAACCATTTATTTTAAGAAACAATAGTATAATATGAACCATTCATTTTAAGAAACAATAGGACCGACATTTTTTTTGTTCCAGTTAAGGGCCTAACATTATTGACTCTTATTAAAATTGTAGATTGTAGATATCAATATAAAGAAGTTTTTTATGATGACTATAGGAGAATAAGAATTCATTAGCAATAATGGCATTTAGAATTCAATTATAGTAACTCTCAAAATTCGCAAATTATTAAAAAGAAATGCTCATTTTGGGAATATTTCTTTTTCCTTTTTTTTTTTGAAAACAAAAACCAAATTTCATTAAATCAAATGTTCAATACAAGATGCAATAGAAGATGACCATATAAAAGGACCAGTTTGAGAACGAGCAGCCCTTGCTAAAGCATGAGCGACCTTATTCACTTATCTAGGAATAAACTGAAAAGACACAACTTCTAAGTGTCGTTGAAAATCCCGGCACTCATTGTTAACACAACTTGCAAACGTGGAATCCCGCAAAGAACCATTGAGCAAATTGTAAACTACTTGGCAATCAGAATAAATCAGAACCTTCATAAAGCCCCTTTCCTTAACCCATGAGAGAACCTCCTTAATAGCAACGACCTCCGCTAAGTGAGCATCGTTTAAGCACCGAATCGGGCTATTCTTGGCTGCAATATAAACATCGTTGTTATCCTTAAAAATAGCACCAAAGCTTGCTTGCTCAGTGTAAGACCCCACTTTTCTTAAATCTAAATCACGAATACTTAATTCCAAAAGATAAACTAAACAAGATTAAAATAAGATTAATAACTTAAAAAACATCTCAAAGGGTGTCACCGCCACAATCACCACACACGGTGATTGCACAGGCAAGGAAAAGATCTAAACAAAGTGAAGCTTAAACAACTATAAACAAACTTGGGGAATAAAACCCCGGTGTCCAACACCATAAAAACATCTAATCAGATCTATCAACCAAGTTTTAACAAACATAACTGAAAAGAGTTTAGACTACAACTCGCTCTCTAAGCTAAGCTAGTCTAACTCGATCGCGCTCAAGAACTGGGCCCACCTGAAAGGGGTTAATAAACAAGCAAGTAGAAAAACAACCCGTTAGCACGAATCTAAGTATAACGTCACTCAACCCTGTAAAATACTATAGCATATACTTTTGGAAAACAATTGCCACGTACACTTAGATCAAGTAATCTTAATCACTTTAAACAACACTTAAAACAAACTAAACAATAAGTTCTAGATGCTTACAACCTAATCATTAAATAGACATGCTTTCACATACATTTAATTCATCAACAATCTCATGCTTTCACTGATATAACTTATCATGGCGAAATACATTACTCATGCTCAAACTGAAGATAAAGATATACTTAACTTTAACAAGCAATATAATCAATACTCATTACTCGTGCTATCAAGATAATCAATAAATGACAATATAAAGTCATGTTTCTTCTCATACTTTCATGCAACACGTGCAAATCATATAATCATGCAATAAGATGAACATGATGCTTTAGTATAAGTATAGATAGATATACATATACACTCTTTCTTTTGTAACAAGGAACACCTGTTCTGTGGAGGTTTCTTAGAGTCACAAAGAAACGTTGGATTCTCTTCTTTCACTTGAGTTACACAGACTCGCTTTTCTCTTATTTCTCTTGAAGTATGCACTACTTTATACTAAAATCTCAACTCTTAGCAAATCTTCTCAATAAATACTTAACAAGTATTCATCATGCTTCTCAACTCAAAACATACTCATTTGCTAGCAATTTCATTCACTGAGTAAACAAGGGGATTATGCACTGTTCATTGTCAAATTCACAAATACTTAGTAAAACTTCTCAACAAATACTATCAAGTATTTAGACATGCTTCTCAATCAAAATATACTTAGATGATAGAAAATTTACTCTCTGATGCAAGTTCATGGACAACAACAACAGAGTATTCTTTTCTCACAATTCGAACTGTAAATCATGCTTTCTAACTCCAAATCCAATGAAATCAACTTCGACTAGTGTGTCGTAACGAACCCGAGTGTTCGAGCCTTAAGGACCCACGAGTCCCGATCCGAACGACACGTAGTTTAACGACAGAGGGCCCGGCCACTACACAGAATTGGCATGGCTGAGCTTGTGGCGGGGCTTGAGGAGCCCCGCCACTTGGCTCCGCCAAGCAGCGGCCTTGGGCAATGGTTCTAGTTGAGAACCGTGCCCAAGGGCCTGCTCTCCACGGGACTAGCCAGCGGTCCCTGACTAGGGCCGTTGGCTAGTTCCGTGAACTTGTCTGGTGCACAGACAGTGTGCACCAGAGGGTTTTTTCTTCACCTGCAACAATTCTCTAGCCAATCCAACATCCCAAACCCCAGGGAATAGGGTCCTCGCCCCCGAAATCTTTCCACATACCCCGTCCCCGTCCACGTCCCCCGACGGGGATGGGGAATTATTCCCCATCCCCGTCCCCGCGGGGATTTTTCGGGGAGGGGAATCCCCGCTCCCGCCCCCGAAATCTTTCCACATTCCCTGTCCCCGCCCCGTTCCCCGACGGAGATGGGGAATTATTCCCCATCCCCGTCCCCGCGGGGATTTTTCGGGGAGGGGAATCCCCGCCCCGTTTTGTATTTATGCCTATTTAAAAAAAAAGACAATTTTTTTTTAAAAAATAAAGATTAATATTATCAAAAATTCATTTAGTTAAGTTAATCCTTAAACAAAGTCCAAATTCAAAATACAAAGATTAATAAAATTAAAATATTCAAACTCTAAAATTCTTACAAATATCCAAACTTACAATTTACAAAGTTACAACTTTCAATTTTCAAACATAAATAATAATCATAAAATGTTCAAACACTTTAAATTGTTTCAAACTCCTCCAAAGTCCAAAGTCCAAAGTCTAGACATATTACATAAGTACATTAGTACATAACAAAACAAAATAAACTTCAAATTACTAAAATAATTCTCAAGTTCTGAACATTCAACTAGTCAAGTGGTGCCGTAGTGATCCTCACTGCTCAACACTTCTTCAATAACCTGAAAGATAATAATAATTTGAATAATATAATTATAATGATATATATATATATATATATATATATATATATATATATATATATTGAAAGGTTCCCGTGCGGTTATTAATGTGCGTGAGATTTGTACTCAATGTGCGTGAGTGTTGTGTCTAATGTGCCTGAGATTTGTACTTAATGTGCGTGAATGTGTAAAATGCAGCAGAAAATATGGATATCAGCTTCTTCTTCCCCATCCCCAGTACCTGCACTCTGTGAGTTGCTTCAGAATAACTTCGATTATTGGGTTGCTCATAATGTGGTATGGAATATGCTGGCCTGTGCTTATTCGACATCTGAAATGGTTGCTGATGCTCTTTTTGTTCTATCCAAGATGAAAGATTTGAATCTTCAAGTTTCAATAACGACATATAATAGTGTGTTGCTCTGCTTTACTGATGTTTACAATGAAATAAAGGCTTCCCAAAGTGAATACACAAATTCTATCCTTATCAATGGTCTATGCAGACCGATCTTGGTGCGAGAATCTGGAACTTCTGTTGTTTGCTTCAATTTCAGATTGTTGAAAATTCTCTTATTACTCACGCACATTAAGCACAAATCTCATGCATATTAAGCACAATACTCTGACACATTAAGTACAAAACTCACGCATATTAACATGACGCACATTAAGTACAAATCTCTAGCATATTGAGCATAACACTCACGCACATTAAGTATAAACCTCACGCACATTAATCCACCGCACAACCACACGGGAAGCAACAAATGCACCTGATCCCTTCCCTATATATATATATATATATATATATATATATATATATATATATATATATATATATGTTTAGTTAAACTTTTAAACAATATAATTTAATAAATACCTCTAAGCATCTGGTTCTAATTGATGAGGAAGGAAGAAATCTTCATTAATTTCATAATCCTCCAAAGTGCTATCACCTACAAATATTATTTTAGTATGGTAAAGACGTAAAGTAATGAATAATCAATTAAAAATAATTTGTTTAAATAAAATTTCTTACTTTCAAGCAACCAACTTTGAGAACACATTAATGCCTCCACAATATTTGGATGAAGTCTACTACGATGAGGCGACACCAATCTACCACTAGTACTGAAAGCGGATTCTGAAGCAATGGTAGAAACTGGAATAGCTATTACATCCTTAGCAACCTTACTCAACGTTGGATATTTCTTCCCTTCAACTTGCCACCATGATAAAACATCCAAATCATCGTCAAATGGTGACCTCTTAGTCTCTAAATACAAATCCAACTCCGATGTCTCACTCACACCCGTGTGAGAAATTTCCATAAAGTTTTTCAACTTATCCCTAACTGGGTCACCTTGAGTCATGGTCTCATCCACTTGGACACGTTTACTTGCAGGTGTTGATGTTGAAAAACACTCATATTCACGGCACAAATCATATAAATATTTCTTAACCCTCTCAATTTCTGATGCAACTTTATCTTCATAAAATGTTTGAAAGAAGAATTGAACAACTCCTAACTTATATCTTGGATCAAAAACATTAGCTACAGCTAGAATTCCATGCACCTCTTGCCAGTATTATCAAACTTTGCACTCATACTCTTAGACATATTTGCTATCACCAAATCAGTTGACTCAACCCAATTGCTCAAATTAACCTTAATCTCGGACATCAATAGGAAAAAAAACATTGGAAGTTGGATATTTTCTACCAGAAAATGCATTTGATGCTTTATAAAACACTTTCAGTTTATCACAAATGTTGGCAGCTAACTCCCAATCTTGTTCTGATGGTGCACAAAGAAATGAAGACTCTTGTTGTCCCAAACGGTAAAAAACATCTTTGTATTGCAATGCAACAGAAAGCATCAAATAAGTAGAATTCCGTCGAGTCTTACAATCGTTAACTAACTGTTTTGAGTATTCTATACCCAAATGTGTTGCACTTATTTTAAAGAGTTGTTGTCTTTTTGGTGAAGATAACCAAAAAGTAACACTATCTCTAACTCTTTCCAATCCATCCCTCATAACTTTTAACCCATCTTGCACTATCAAATTCAAGATATAAACACAACAACGCATATGAAAAAACTTCCCACCAAATATAAGATGTTTACGGTTAAGCTTGGACAAAACATGATTAATTAAACCATCAATTAGTTGAACAATTATCAACGGTTATTGTAGACAACTTTCTCTCAAGATTCAAATCCAAAATACATTTCAACATTTATTGTGAAAGAGTCAATGATATATGTGGAGGCATGACATAAATAAACCTAACATAAACACACAATAAATCTAACATAAATACACAATAAATAATTTCACAAATTGCACAATAAGTAGTCAACTTGTATATAAAAATTGCAAGATAAATAATCTCATAAAGTGCACATACCTCAAAACCAAATTATGTAGACTCCAATTGTTGTCCACAAAATGTGTTGTAATAGCCATGTATCCCTTCTTTTGATAATTTGCCGTCCACATATTCGTAGTCAATGCAACCCTACTAGAGCTTCTATTCATAGACTCAATAAGTTTGGTCTTTTGAGTCTCATAATTCTTTATAATATCCGCTCTAATTGTGTTCCGACTAGGCAGCTTCAGCAAAGGTTGAGCAAAACCCATGAACTCCCTAAAACCGGAATGCTCAACCATATTAGGTGAATACTCATGCTTAACAATCATACGAGCAAGTGCCTGTCTAGTAGCTATGGGATCAAATGTGTAAGTGTTTACATTCACTTGCCCATCTTTGTCTTTATTTAAGGTCAGTGTTTGTTGCCTAAGGTGTTGGTGAGGCCTCATTCTACAAATTTTGTTATGATCATGCAAATGTTTTGTACCATTTTTACTCTCTCTCCCAAGTAGCTTCTTACAATAATTACATTCCGCCTTCATATTGCCATCAACTTTAATCTTTGTAAAATGATCCCAAACAACCGACCTTAATCTTTTCTCACCAACTTTAGGCTCACCGATAAAACAAACAAAATAAATAAATAAATAAACAAGTGCAAAATCAATATAATAACATAAACAAAAAGTAAATTTAATAACTACAAAAATATACAAGCTCACCTTCAACAGTTTGGCTAGTTGTTCGAGTTTCTTGAATTTCTACCTCTTCATTCCTAGCACCAGGTGAATCCACGGGGATGAATTAGGGTAATCTACCGGTGATCTCATAGGCGTTGGAGTAAATGAGTCACAAGCGCCTATGTAAGAATTATCACATTCCATTTTAATAAGTAATAATATATGAAAAAATAAAAACAGTTTAACTTAGCCAATAGAAGTACATCAAAAGCATTAGAAGATTAAAGTTCATTAAACTAATCAAACTAAAGAAGAAACTAATTAAACTAATTAGAAGATTAAATTAATTAAACTACAGAACAATAGAAGAAAGAAACTAATTAAACTAATGAGAAGATTAAACTAATTAAACTAAAGAAGAAACTAAAGAAGAAACTAATTAAACTAATTACAAGATTAAATTAATTAAACTACACTAATTAAACTGTTTCTGAACTAACATTATAACAATGCAGACAATCAACACTAAAGTACTAAACTAACAATAAACACTAACACTAAACAATAAACTAATGCAGACAGTCAACACTAAACTAACAATAAACACTAACACTAACATGTAGGAAGAGATTCAGCCGGCAGTCCGCAGTCGAGAGATTCAGACGGCAGTCCGCAGTCGAGAGATTCAGACGATGGAGGGAGAGATTCAGACCAGAAGACAGAGGGAGAACGGCAGTCGAGAGAGACAGACGACGGAGAGAGAACGACAGTAGTCTGGTCGTCCGGCGAGGCGGCGAGACCTCCAGCTGTCCGGCAAATGGGTGGTGGACTCGAGCTGGAGAAATGAGTGACGTCTCTAGCGCAACAGCGATGAAGAGTCGGCTGTCGGCTTAGGTTTAGGGATGAAATGTTGAATGAGAAACAGAGAGGGCTGTTTTAATTAGGGTTGCATTTGTTTTAATTGAATTATTGAAATTCTTAATATTATTAATATTATATATATATATATATATATATATATATATATATATATATAATACTATTAGTCGGGGATTCGGGTTCGGGGCTGGGGTGGGGAAGGCCTTCCCCGTCCACGTCCCCAGCGGGGCGGGGATCGGTTTTCCCGTCGGGGGCGGGTTCAATTGCCATCTCATAAGTGCATTTTTTTCTATATTTTTGCCCCTTCTTGAACCCATTTTATTTGTGAATTGCTTAAAAACTTGTGTGAATTGTGACTAAGTTATGTTGGTTTTATTTCAAGGTGCAATCATTCACAACAAGTGAGAAATTCAATGATTTGTGGGAAGATATGAGCAATTTTTGGACCAAGAGATCAACTAAAGAGTTTGGAATGCATTTAGGAATTTCAAGAGTATCGTACTGCCTCACGTACGCCCATCCATCAGCCCATCCAAGATCTCAAAAAAGAAGCAGTTGGCGTACGCCCTGCCGTACACCCATACGCATGCCAGTACGTCCATTCCATGTTCACTGGAAATGCACCAAAAATGGTACTGCCTAGCGTACGCCCATCCCTGAAGCAGTACCACTATGCTCTGTTCCAACCCTAGACATTTCCTTCACTTCCTTTCATATTTTAGTGTTAGATTAGGCTTAGATTTAGGTTCCACAACATATTTCAAGAATGTAATCAAGGATTCAACACTTGGATTCCAAGATTTGCCATCCATTTCTTAGTGAAGTTTTCTTTCTCTTATCTCTTTCTTTTGCAAGATTTATGTTTAATGTTTATGTTTTTGTGCTCTTTATGCTATTTAATGATGAGTAGTTAGTTTATGGGCTTGATTTTGAGTTTTATTATCTATCTTGATGCTTGATTTGTGCTTATTGCAAAAAGGGGAAGAACTCTAACCTAGGGTTCATGTGTTTGTGAAGGTGTTGTGTTTATATCTTGTTAATATTTGATGTACACATTCTTTGACATGTTTTGGAGGATTCTTGGCCTCAATGAGAGTTGGGTCAAGATTCCAAGTCACTCCTTTCATAAACCCAATTTTTCCTATGAAAATGGGGAAAATTGGGGTTTTAGATGCTTTGTGTTCTTGAAGAACTTGGAGTTGATTCACCGCGAGAGTGGGGCAATTCCTTGTTCTAATCCTTGTTAATTTGCTCACGTGAGTGACTTGTAGACTAGGATTCCTAAGTGCATCCCATCTATTCCTTGGTTGTGTGATTTTCCCCAATCCTTAGGTTGTGCTATGCATCTAGAAGATAATGCTCCCTAGCTTGAGTCCTATTTCTTTATTTAATTAGTGTTTATATCCTATTAATATGTGTTTTTGTTATTTTGTTTAGTTACCGTAGCTTCAACCTCGTTATAATTTTCTTAGCTTCTTGTTGATTTTCTTATGTTAGTGCCTAGTTATTGTGATTGCATATTGCGTGTCATATCCCCCAATCTCATGAGGACGACATTTCACACCCGTACACTCATCATCACTCACATTTGCTACACCACCATCCCTAGTCATAGATCAACAATAGATCACTAATAGCTCAACAACAACAATAAACTAGCATTTCTAAGCATTTTCACTTCAATCTAGACTTCACAGAGTCAAAATAAAGCTAGTTGGGATCCATGGTTATACCTTTGTTGCATCTTCTTCTTGTTGGGATTCCTCCTTCTTCCCAAGTCAATCACTACCCCCTTCACCACCTAAATACCTCAAACAAGCCACACAACAACCTTAAAAACAATAATCTCAGAGATGGAAAGCTAAGGAATGGAAGCTAGATGGAAAATGGATGAGATTAAGCCTAAGAACTTACTGTTTTCTTCTTTGTGTTCTTGCAGAGCTCTTGGTGGGGAAGACAATGATGGAATCAAGAGGAAAATGGTTGCTAACTATTCATTTTATAGTGGCTCAAAGCCCTAAGAAGATCAGCAATGATTGGAGGATGGCAAAATGGTAATTTGGTTGATTTTCTAAAAGCATCAGACAAGGGATGGAGTCTTGTGGTTCACCAAGCAACATAGACCAAAATCTAGAAAGATAGTTTTAAATAGTTTGGGGGTCAAAATATATTTTTTCAAAAATACTTTCTAGATAATCACTTAGTTTAGGTTTCTCAGATTTCTCCCGATTTCAGTCAGATTGACTTTTGGGTCAAAAACTTAGTACGCAATGCACTCGAGAATTTAGAATTTCAGAGATAGAATAAGTCACGGTGTTGAATTTATTTAAAACGTAACTCAAAATAATTAATTCAAACACCGTTTTCATCATAAAAATTTTGGTAGAGTGAAAAATGGCTATTTTGAAATTTCTTAAAACTGAATTTATAAAAATTTAATTTTGGATTGTCAAACTCAGTGTCAGGAAACACAGTCGCATCAACAAACACTGTCACCATGTCTTCTGGCATATCCATATGAAGCACCTCCATTTTAATTCTCGTAGTCTGCCAAGTCTTTTGATTCCATACGACTTCATTCCTCTCGCGCCAAATACACCAACAAAGGGCAATACGTTTCAGCTTTGTCACCACGTCGACATGCGCTAACCACCCTGACAACCATGCAACAAAGTCATCATCAGCTTCTGGGAGAGGGTAGTCCATAAGATCATGCCATAAAGGGACAACCTGCATACATTCACACATCAAATGCCTTAGAGATTCAGGGTGTTGTCTACAAAGAGGACATGAAATGTCTACCTCCAACCTTCGAGTAGCCAGTGCAACCATAGTAGGGATAACATAGTGAATACAATGCCAAAGGATGTTCTGAATATTCGGGGGGATCTTTAGTTGCAAAATATCACGCCAAACACCATTGAGAGAGGATCCATGCGCATGCAAATCAGATAGCAGCCTATAACCATGCTTAACTGAGTAAAAACCCCTTATGACTCTCAAACTGAGTAGCTACTGAAATTTTTAAAATGAGGTATAACTCATTTATCAGCTCAATATTCCAATCCTTTGTTTCAGGGTTAATCAGTGCACTAACCTTCATATTTCTATCATGCTCAAAAATAGGAGAGTGAATGAACGTATCAGCATCATTAGGAAACCAGGGCTGCTTCCATACATTCATAGCACACCCATTTCCGATTCTCCGAAAACAGCCTTGGCAGAGCACATCTTGGCCTGCTAGAATAGGCCTCCAACAATAACTCGGGTTAGCACCAATCTTAGCATCAAGGAAAT